CGAGGTGGACTGAATACATTTTCTTGTTGAATGACACAAAACTTGGGGGACAGATGTGTTGTCAGCGGATCTAGAGGTTTTAAAAGTTTGGTGTACTTGAAGGTATTGGTAGATTGGCTGGTCTAGAAACTGACAGAGAACATGACACTGGAAGACAACGCATATGTTACTTTTTTTGGCTGGGGTCTGGAACTACAAACAAAGAACAAGGCGTTTGCGCTTTAGCATTAAGGAACTTTGACCGTGAGCACCAGCCTCATGTTAGAGTAGTACAGGTGGGTGCATTTCTGTACAATTCTGTGTATTTTATCACTCGTTTCTAAAGTTTTGTTTTCCTAGAACGTTATTACATAAAAACTTTTGAGTGATTGTACCAAATTTGTTAAATTTTAGTAGAGAGTATGTATTTGGACAAGTAATGTTGAAAATACTCTGGTAAATTGTAGTTGTATAACTTTCAGGGCCAAGAACCTTTCGTTTTCTTAAGCCTGTTCAAGGGAATGCTAGTAGTCGCTGGTCACGAAACTCGCGTTTTCCTAGTTCATTCATCAAATATTATGAACGAGTGCCATCTAGAAGAATTGCCGTCACCAGTGGTGCTGAGATCACATGCAGCGTACGTAATAGTCACTAATAAAATAACTATCTGGTTTGGAAAGGATTCTGCTACCAGAGAGAGAGAATGTGCTCGATTTGTCGCGCAGCGCCTGTCTTATACTGTTGAACCTTACTTTACATCTGCAGATGAAGATCTTGATGTTGTTGAGGTGGAAGAGCCAGAAAATCCTTGCAATCTTCCAATAATTCGCGCCAAAGACTGGCAGCAGGTGTGTTCTTTGTAGCCCTGTAGTCTTACTGAATGGAATTTCTTGTACGGTTGTGGGAGCATTTCTGTTTGATAAGGCATTGAACATGTCACATTTTAATTAATGGTTGCTTATGGCTTTTTTAGTACTAATATGAGTTAATCAATGCGTAGCATGAGTTTCAGATAATCGTTTTTGTTCACTTCAGTAGATTTATTTAGAAGTTGTGTGGCTTTTATCGGCCAGTAGTTTTACCGATATCAGTTCGATGCATTCTAGGCACCAAGGATGATTCGCCTTGTTGAGAACGAAGGGATTGAACTGAGCTGTGTACAGTGGGATTCGAATGCTCCGTTTTCTTTTAGACAGGAGGAACTAAGGCTTGTTTTATAAATTCTTTCTTTGTTGCAACTTCTTTCGGATGAAGATTGTCAAGTACAATGTACTTTTTTATCTAATCTTTAGGGATACAATAATAGTTGATCAAGGGAATAGTATTTGGCTGTGGACCGACACCATTCCTGTAACACAACACTTGCGAGTTGCTTCAGAATATTCCAAAGAACGCTCAGGATCAGCTACTGTGATCTGTAAAACTAAAGAACCTGTGGAGTTCAAAGCGCTTTTTCCGACTTGGGTAGACTTTGTTGATGAAGTTGATACTGAAGAAGATCCCGAGAAGGTATGGCTCTTTGCACTTGCTGAGTTTCTCGTTGAACTGAGTAACATTTGGTGGTACTTCTGTGACCTGCAGTTTTAAGCTAGTTTTTTTTTAGAAAATTCCTACGCGTGACAATCCTATTAGTGTTGAGGACCTGCTGAAAAAAAGGAACCAAAAGTACCCGCTTGAGAAAGTACGGGCTCGTGATCTGCCAGAAGGCTCTGACTTAAAACGATTGGAACAGTATCTGACTGATAAGGATTTCGAAGGTGTCTTTAAAATGGATCGCGGTACGTTCTACGCACTACCACCATGGAAACAAATAAGCTTAAGAAAGATGAACGATTTGTTTTGAACCAATCTTCATAATGGGCTAGAGAAAAGCCCTTTGAAGCTGAAAATAAAAAAAATTTTATTCTTAGAATTATTTACTGCATTTATATAGAACTATTTCTTTTATTTAATCATATTTTTTGTACTGTGTTTTACTTGGAATACTGGTGTTTTGGATATTTGTAAATACTGTTTGTATATTCTTCATAGAGTAGAATCCCGTAATATGCAAACTTTTATTTGAAAACATCATTTGTCACGTGTTCCTACTAGTTTTTTTTTCTGCTATGCTTTAGGTAACCTCTAGCAATTTGCATATGCTCCATTTTGCTTAGTCCAAAAATTATACAACTAATAAGTTTTATAACAGTAATCTTACTTTAGACTTAACATTCATTTATAAATTGGATGTTAACGTTTCTCAGTTTCCTCACCCCCTGATTTCCTTGGCACGTTTAAATTGTTAGATTGCTATGTATCCTACTACTCTGTATCTCATTTATGGCTCAGGAGATAGTAGTTTTAACACAGTTTAAATCACAATTTTTTGATCGCTCACATGAACCGATTTTTTTTGTTGCGGTCGCAGTGTAGTCCGTAGTAGATTTTTAATTGACATATTACTTAATTGAAATATTACATATTACTTTAAAAATTTGTTTACTGTTAAAGAGGTTGCGGCAAAAATAAACCATTCAACTAATGATATTTTTTGTTCAAATTGCTAGCATTAAATTTAAGCACTGTATCTCAAAGTCAGACACTTTGAGGGTTCATTTGCTGGTCAGTTTTATAGCTCTAAATTGAGATACTCTGTATCAGCTTCTAAATTTAAGTATTTTCAGATTATGCAAAGCTTTCCATTTTTTTCTTGTCAAGGGGGGAATTAATTTTGCGGAATTGCGACCATTCTAAAACAGATGATGCTTTTGTCTGAATTTCTTTCTGAATAAAATGAAGCACTAACAGAAATCTGTGTTTAATGTTTTGCTGCGAAATAACATAAATTAGGCTGCATTGATACCAGCTGAAACAGTTAGCCTTTCATTCATAAAACAAAATTCCATTGTGATCGGCATCTACTTCGGTAAATAACAGGCTAAACAACCCTCATAACTAACTGTATACTAGAGTCACACTATGTACGGCAACCGGAATTACACAGTGAATTAGTAGGATTTCTGTCTGCCGGTCGTATATGATTGCTAGTTGTAATTCAGTAACAAATTGCTAAAAGTCATTTTGAACACCAGCATATGGAGGCAGAAATCTTGTTACAGGTGCCCTTCGACTACTGGGAGTAAAGCAGATTAAGCTGTTATGTAGTGTTTTGAGGTACTAGTAATATTTTAGAAATGTTTGTTTCATTTGTTTGCTTTTTTTGCCGTATCGTGTGGTTTGCTCTTTCACGGTTATCAATTCTTAAAATAAGTGGACAAGCAACTATACAACTCCTGAGGATTTGAGCAAGGGAAATGTCGCTTGGAATATATGAGAATCTTGATTACTTAACACCACAAAAAAGTAAAAAATTCTTTAATCTTTATTTAAAAAATTTGCCTCTTAAAGATACCTACTGGAAATACTTCCAAGAAGAATATCTCTTAAGTCTGAGGGAAAAACAAAAGACAAGACACAAAGAAACAAAAAATGTCGTACAAAAAGTGCCCAGTAATCCCAAAAGATCCAGATTTGCGTAAGGCGAATGGAAACTTGGAAGAATGGTAACAGCGCAAAGAAACTCTAACGGTTTTATAAAATCTGTAAAAAATTATTCTTCCAGATAAGAAGATTTTTGAGAATTCGTTAAGTGCTTTGACTCCGATTGAACTCAATGTTCTACAATTCTAGAAATTGCGTTTTCTGTATTTAAAAATTTTAGTTACTTGATTTTTGTATTACTGTCTCATATTACAAACGCTTCTGATGTTGGTGTCAATCTTTTTTCTTGAGTACTAAAAATCATTTTGATGTATTGTTTGAATTTTAAAATTTATCTGTCTAAAAGTAAAAGTTTGCTTTTAAAATTTTTTTGATCTTGTTTAAATTCTGTCATAGTTTTATATCGAAAAAAACACGAAAATTATATGGAAAGTTTTTAGTTTACACTTATTTTAAATTTATACGTTGATCTGTAAAAATCTGAATTTAGTTTGTCTGTC